CTGAGGAAGATCTGGCTCGACAGGAAGGCGAAGACGCAACGTCGAGGCGAACAACAAGCATGGACCATCGACTCGGATCGCCGGCTCTGAGGAAGACGAAGACGTCGAAACGTTAGCCGAAAATAAATATATTTATCAACCTCGTGTAAGCTTATCAAGAAAGAATACATATTGATTTGTCACACCGAGGTTTAGGGAAGGTCGGTTTCGAAACTCTCCGGATTTTTAAATAAACCACCTAAGACTGCGATTAAAATGGGCGTTTAACCCAAATCGGCAAAACTGTACACTGAAGTGCTGAAATCTATTGTCAATTTACTACGCAAGAGTGCTAACAACTACTGCTTTGACAATATCTCTGGTGAACGTGCGCCACATTCACACTTGAAAACTACACATTACGACTGCACATGAAGAAAAGGACCATCCTCAATCGGAAAATGAGAATTGTTGACCGGATGACAGCGCAGCGATAGCCTGTCTCATACTGTACTTACATTCGGAAACGAGGACGGAAACCACGTAAAGCGAAAATGTGGCATTCGCGAACAAGAACAGGTGAAACAAAACAGGTGCGACGTTGGTAAAGAGGTCCATACACCAACACCATGCTCTTACTGAACAGAAAATCACCAAACGAAATGGTTTAGGTATCGCTGCCTTTAGTGATAGACGATCACAAATACTATTCCACTACTAATGTTTTCACCTTTACTTTCCACCCATTTTTTCTCATGACAGGGTACGATCTGAAATACAATCATAGGGATACTGAGATTTGAGCAAAATTCGAAACTTCAGCTCGGCTCCGAATCTGCGACTATACTCACCGAGTGCTCAAGAGGAGAACAGGCAGAAAATCGAAGTTAAAATACTGTGATTTCGATTGCAGTTTAGGCTTAACTGAATTCAATGCCGGCTTTTGCTATTTGAACGATTCCACTTTACGAGTGATTGCTGATAGCACCGACTGAGTAAAAACATAGCTGCGAGAAAGGCAAGGCAAGGATCTCGGTTGATGTGGTGGATAGCACATGACCCTGTCGTGAGGTTAGACACGGATTCGAAGCCTAACAGTGGTCCTGAGTTTTGTTCATTTCTCAGCATCCCTAAAGTCGTATCTCATTATAAGTATAAAAAGTAAAAGAAAGCCTAATAAAGCTTTTCTTAACAATTTTAACGGACGAAAATCCTCACGATGAAGTCTTCGCATTTGCATAGGAAACCATGAAGAGTTATTTCTTCCCTCATCAGCTTGATTATCAATTTTATAAATCACAATGATTTGGTGCCACTGTCAATTAAAAACCACAAAGAGATAAAGCTTTAGGCACTAGTCTCTCTTTTAGGGAACCACAACGCAACTGACTTCGTTAAGTATCGCATGGATGATTGCATGTATGCCTGGCCTAATTGACCTGACAGAGTCTACTCATATATTAAGTCAGTGCCTTTTATCCCTCAGAATGCTGCAGTACCAATTTACCGAACCCTTAATCATGGAGTTGGTTAGGCCATGAGTGCCTGGTCGAACCGACGATGACATGTGCTTCATAGGACATCTCCAATTGCTGCGTTACAGGCACTTTATTTGTGCACAACGCCCATTTTCCTCGGAGACAGATTGTCTACGAAGGACACCAGATAACCGTCTTTGAGGCCTTCTAGTGGCAAAAAGTTAAAACAGTTCAACAGTAATGGTTTGAGCAGGATAAAAATGGTGAAAAAGTATCCATAAATGGAGCTGCACATGGACCATTGCAAGAACCACCATAAAACAATCTTAGTCCTATCCAAGAATTAAAACATAAACTTGGTGAAATTACACTGCTTTAGTGCACACGTTATCCGCATGTATTCCAAAAAATAAAGTCGAAATAAATGAGAGCAAAAGTGCATATGACGACAGTCAAGCGCCTTCTCCGAACGGTAATAAAATTGACATTATATGCCTAGATTCCGTATTGAATAAACATCTAAGCACGAATGCACAAAACAAGTTCGAGAGGCACTCCCGAGGACCATCGTCATTTTGAGTGAGTTTGGACACCTAAGCTCAAGATAAAAAAAAAAGCATTTCCCAAAATCAACCTGTGTAGAACTCACGCAAAGGAAAAGTGGTTCCATCATAAACCCTGAGGAACAAGGAAACAGATTTACAAACCAATTTAATTTCGAGAGATACGATAAAAACGGACATTTATATCGCAAGTGTGGGAAAAGGGTAGATAAACGATGAAATTATGTCACCACCGTCTCTAAAGCCTGCAAAGAAAACCGACCTTTTGTTGGCTCACGAATTGAAACAAGTTGATCCGCCCCATTCTCAGGAAGTCTCCATCACGAAGAATTTCTGTCTGACCTATACGGCGATTGTTTATCTGGAGAAAAAATCAGGCAATAGCTTTGGAACAACGCACAAATGCATTCAAACAAGGTATGTTTATAAAATACCTCGATGACTGCATCAGAAGCACTGGGGGTGATCGTAACTATCCCATCCATGTAAGTAATAACACAATGCCTCCCGCGAATTTCCGGATCATCTAACTGCAAAAAATGAGAGAACGAAAATTGACTATTGTGACTCCCATAACAACAAAAGTCCTACTCACACAAATGTTCTGAGTCGAAAATTGCATAAGAACTCGATCGCTGCCGATTTCAGTTACGCCACCACACAAGCGAAGAAATTTATGAGGGAGCAAAGCAGAGCCATCTGAATAAATTTCTGCTCTGTGATAGCGCTACATCCACAGAGAACATCTACGGCTAATGGACCACTTGTAAATCCAGAAAGCCATGAAAAGAAATATTTCTTAAATTTTTAAAGATCAAGCAGACCTGCGTTAAGAAGCTGGAGGTACGAGCAATTTGCAGGCAAGGGAGCCGTGTCGGCAGTCTCTAGGACACTACTAGTAAAGTTTTGAGCTGAGACATTAGAATCTCTGCAAAAAGCATGTACATAGTAGTGGTATACATTACAAAAAAAAAGAAAAAGATTCTCAGAAAATTCTATACGTCACAGCAATAAACAATCGAAAAAGTTAGTAAAACAGGAAACTCAATGTTAGGCTAAATTTCATAGATAACATCTCAATACTTCTCTAACTGCATTACATATTTTGCCGAACTCCAAATATGGTTACGCAGTGAATTCAAACAAAATAAACTATCAAACAATGGATACACACATACACATATGCACACATATATGCATGTATATACATATGTATGTACATACGTGCATACAAATGTATGTGTGGAAAAATGTGCATGCTAACCGATAATGGTTTGGTTTCCTCTTTAGGGCAAGATATGTTTCTGGAACATCAGTCCCACGCGCTGCCATCTGCATTAGTGGCATTTCATCAGCACCGATTATTCTGCCTTCTCTCGAAATATTTCGAAGGTCCGAAAGGCTTTGATTGACCTGCTCCGACGTTGTCATCTAAAAGTCCTCAGAAAGGAGTAGATAAGCGATAACAAATAATACGACCGTTAGGCTAAAAACTCATGCCATAACCTGCTCTGACCAATTAGCACACATATTTCAAATTGTGCTTCTAATTGTTGTACAATTCACAAGATCAGTTAAAGTAGGAGATAATGTCAGACAATCCAAAGAAGACAGTAATTATATGGATGAGATGAACTTAATGACATAATTTTTCTCCTCAGCCGACACAATTTTAGAGCACCCAAAGTCGCTCGGCATGGACAAAAATCAAATAACAAAATGATTACGGCGGAACTAACGACAGTAAGACACTCGTCGATACCCATGCCAAAATCAATAATAGCGATTTGATCAATACTGAGATTAAAGACTCTTTGACTAATTCACAAGAAGAATGACCTTTCAAAGAAATGAATTAAGCACACAGAGAACCTCCACTTCCCTTATGCCGTCATTTTGGGGCAACTGTGTTCCACCATTGAGTCAAGTAAGTGAGACCCATTATGCTTGCTTTTCCCATTTAGATGAATAGCAATTGTGTAGATAGTTGAGGTACTCCAAAAATTACACCAACCTCAACCAACACATAGTCAGAAGCGGAGCTTGAATCGAAACCATACTTCTCCAAAGCTTCCAAGAGAATTTTTTCAGTGCGGTCTTGCATGGAAACCAGAATTGTTACATATGGCCGTGATGGTACCAACTCGCCACCGTATATCTTCAAACTTCCACCTAGAGTAAGGAAACGTTAACTGATGAAAACTGATAACAAAAGAAAGATGGACTCAGAAAACAACCTAACTAGAAAAGGTTTACGATGTTTGGTAAGAAAACGAGAAAAAGTTTTTGGTTACACAGGAGCATGCTTTGCTGCATCACGACTTTAAAACTCACCCACATTGCTGCATTCAGTCCCTTCAATACTACAATTCATAATGATAAGATGTCAAGTTCAATGTGAAAAAAAGCTGAGTAACTGCTTGGTTTAAACACTTCGCTTACCATGACCCATCTCTTTCAGTCTTGTTTCCAGTTTCTTCTCTCGTCTTTTCTTCATTACCACTTCTGGATTAGATATTGTACGAGTAAATGAATTAGGCGGAACCTGGATATAAGTGGCGTTAACTATTGCTGCTCAGATTTACAGAGGAAACGCTCATGTATTGAGGGCAGAGTTAGAGTAATAAAGTTCATTACAATGAAACATGCAAAAGAATTGGGTAGGAAAAACATAGTGCTATAATACCAACCTGACAGTAAAGATCTGTTACTGGTGCCACTGTCTCCTCTCTGCCAGAATTTACCGTAACTAGAAAAGATTTGCAGTGCCAATTACCTTATTTAACAAAAAATCAAAATGACGAGTACTGATATCTTTCTGGTGTTTCTTCTTCAATTCCTTCTTTTCCCGTTTCGAGAATCGCTTCGTAGCTCTTTTCAAGTTCTCTTCATGCGGTAGCTGTATAGTCTAAAACCAAAAAATGAGGGCAATGAAACTAGTACTATATGTAGTGCTCTAAAAGAAGACGTTCAGTAACCGTACCGCAAGAGGAATACTTGTCTGGCGACTTTTGCGCAACAGAAACCTGCCTTCGCGATCGTCTCTGTGCCATGTTAGCTGTACAAGTAATGGCTTCTCCTCATCGTCCAGTTTCCTCTCACCACCACTCTCGTGAAGCTGAACGTAGAAATTCAAGGATAAATCCTTCCATTTCTCACTGATTCAAACATTAAAATAAGTTAGTTCAAGTCGTAAAACTACAATTTGCTTTTTATCAATCATACTGAATCAAGGACTTCACTAAATTAAAAATAAAGTTTCAGAAAATTCAACACTTTTCATCGTCTTAGGAACTATGTAAAACCTAACTGATTGTTTCGGAAAAATTACAGTTTACTCGCAATAATGTGCAAAATAAATAAAAGTTTTGCTTTAACACCTTCACGTATGAAGGACTGTAGAAGTTAAAAAGTTGAGAAAAATTATAGAAATACTTTTACCTAATCCTTAGAGGTATATTTATACCAAAGTACTATTCTACTCCAAGCTTACAAAGCCTGCGCAGTGCAGTGGTTAGAGGAGCCCTACAATACACAAGGGATTCATCCCACGCCCAAGGTTCACCAAGCTCCCCATTTTTCCGAGGTCAGCAAATTGGTGTCAGAGTTATCTGGTAAGGTAGTAACACTGATTCGACACATCGGTAAGCCATCGTGGGTCATTTTATGGGCAGATGTACATTGAACCACCTCCAACGATGCTTAATGAAGTCGAATGCATGGCATAGTACTCAGACATTGGTCAACGCTGAGAACCTTGTCCTCTTTCAAGTTTGGAAAGACACAAACGCGGTATGAGCAAATTATCGACGAAATTCAACTAGTTTAGCACTCACTCAACCAAATGCAAGCAGGAAAGAAGAAAAGCGAAAAAAGGTAGACGTTTTGTGGGATCTCGAAATCAAAATTCCATCTTAGTACAGTAAGAAGGTATAGAATATGTTAGCAAAAATGTAAAGCCTCTAATGGTTTTTGGTTCAATCGCAAAAGTCTACTGAGCTAAGAAAACCGAAATATGTTCCTGTTTAAAGTGGAAAAGCTAAGTTATTTTTGAATACATATTCTTAGAAAATAACATGACTGTATGAAATGCTGAGATATTTGCAAAACTCCGGACCACAGGTGTATGCAGTGGGGAACGAACACGCGCTATTGTCCTTACCGGGGAGCAGCGCACCTCACCACTACACCACACGACTGTGTTAAAGCAAAAGGAAGAGATCTTAATGCTTAACAAAAAGCACTAATAGCTATTTAAAACGCCTTATTATACAAAACTAACCTCCCATAACGTGTAAGTGTCGTCTGAGAGCATCTTCAAATCAGGAAGAAACTTCTCAGTCAGTGCATCGACGACGGCACGAGTTGTGGCCGTGCTGGACACACGGACGCATTTCGTCAACACACGTTCTCCTCCATCCTTTAACATTGTCGTACCAAATAGTCTACACCAAAAACAGAAGTGCACAGAGTAGACGATGAATGTAACTAATAAAAGTAATAAAGTCTCCCCGAGCAGCAGTCCACCCCGAAACCGAGATCCTCGAACGGACTCCCTTGGTAGTCTATCCACAACCAAGACTCCCGAGAACTTGATAAAATGGATGATGAGCTAAAAACTATCTATAGAAAACGGCAGACTTGTATATCTCTCAGAAAAGCTCACGTACTAGAGGAACGGATCATTGTGTGGACATAGCACATCGCAATTTAAAAGCTGCCATAAACAAAGGTATGTAGCTCCTGCGCTACATGGATGTTTCCTCAATATCAAGGACCTCCTCTAACTCTACTTTTTCATCTGCGGAAAAATTCTGCATCTCCGAATTCGCCACTTTTCCACAAACATTCTAAGTTTGGCAGAAAAATCTCTTGTAACACGCTGAAGTGTTTTGTATTAGGCATAAACAAGAGAACTAATTTTGATAAAACCTGATGAAAATCGGTACACTTTTCACTTCTCCCTATCTCATTTTCACTTAGACCACCACCAAGACTGCATATACTATTATTTGAGTCCTACACTGCAAAGTAATCACAAAAACACCAGCTTATCTTCTAAAATAGTCATGCATCGCTTACATCCTGTCTAATAGACAGACACTTGCACAAAGCGCGAATGCGATGTTATATATGAGCGATTGAAAGTTGTGTCAAGATCTCGATAGCAGCTGCTTCTCTAGTCAGAAGCGATTGTAAGCACGAAAAGTATAGAACATATTTCAAACCTAGTTGGAAAAGTAGAGATTTCCCAGGAACAAAAAAAAAGAAAACAAAAAAAGTTAAACGGAAAAAACTCATTAAGCGCACCTGGAAATAGAATCGCATGACACCTTCAATTTCAAGATCCTGAAAACACTCCACATCTTGGTCCAGTTCTCCTGGCAATCAGCGAATAACTCCATATGAAAGTTAGCTCTTGTGAAAACCATAAGCGTAATGGGACGTAACCAAGCTTTGAATTGACTTCCAAATAGCCATAAGTAACGTAACAGCCTTTAGCTATCGAACGCCATATTGGCAGACAATTGTCTGCTATTTAAACCCATAAAAATCAGAACTTTCAGGCATGTCTTGTAGTAATTCTCACGACCGAATTTCCATCAACCTAGGCATTGATTAAACTGTTTGCGGTATTCTTGTTGAACAAACACGTTGGTGTTACCTTCAACAAATCAGCATGCCTCTCCAAGCTCTGAAGAAGGCGACACTGCCGAAAGGCCATCTTTAACGGAATAAATAATAAAGTAACACCTCGTGTTTGTTCAACAAGAATACCGAGAACTTTCTTAAATCGGTACAACGATTAAGAAAGCAGATGAAAGAAATAGTATACCTCAGTAGGGTAGCTCAGGTGGAACAGATCAAGACGATTTTCATTCCACTGCTCAACAAGCGATGCCAGTTGTTCTCGTTCGCTTGGTGGTACCATTGCCACTACGAATGGAACAAGCTCTGAATGACGGGGGTCTTCCGAAGAGAAAGGAAGTCACAACTGCACACCTGAGTGCTCAGGCGTTCGCTGCATCCACCACCTAAAAACGAAAGCCTACAGAACATTCTAAAATGCAAGACATGAACGAACAGCACGAAACAAAACTAGACCGACCGCCAAGAAAGCGCGAATAGGGCTGTTCCGCATTGGAACGCCGCCAAAGCAAATTGACGCCAATCGCCCCGAGTTGACGCCGCTTGTGTGCACGCGTTCTGGAGATGACCAGCGATAGCAGACAGTACGGAGCTCACCTTGCTTTCTCTTCTATTTTTTGCTGTAGTTTAATATGCCTGTAGAAGGTGTTAGGTGAAGAGTTCTACACAAAGAACTTGCTTGATTCTAGGACGATTCACCCATCGAAGCTGAAAGTGATCAGTCGGCCCGTACTGGTCCACTAAGCTGGGTTCCATTTCGGGAACAGCCACTGTCACATATGACTGACTGACGCCAGCCAAGAATTGTGTTTCTGCTGTAGAAGAACGAAGAGATCCAACTCTCGGGGTCGATCGATCCCTGATCAACGCGCAGCACATTCGACTTCATTAAGCATCGTTGGAGGTGGTTGAATTCACACCTGCGCCGTACAATGACTGGCGGTGGCCTAGCGAGATGTCGACTCACTGACACTAGCCTCCTAGAGAAGTCTGACACTAATTTGCCTACCATAGAAGGTCGGAGGTTTGCTGAGCCCGCGGCGCTGGATCGAACCGAGGACCGCGTGAGTTTCTCAGCGCACCTCCAACCACTGCGCAAAACGCGTGTTTACTGTTAACATGCAAAAATGTTTTAGTGGTAGAAAGTACGGGATATGTTATAGGTGGCAGTGTTTTGCAAGCGTACTTGTGAAGCGATTCTTACGCTAGGTGATCAAGCCCTTGAATTGCTGAGATTGTTCTCGGACCGAGTTCGTATAGAGCACTTGAGCGTAAATCGGGGGTGAATGTGACGCGAGAAATCTTATTCGCTGAACTTTTTCTTTGTCATTAAGCTTCATAAGATTTTCGCTGCTTCACTGTGTTCGGTCGAAGGTTGACTCAGAAGTGGTGGAGTGTTGAATTATTAAACCGTCTACTTCTTTCGGGGATGGAGGGAGGGAGGCGCATGTGGTGCAGTGGTTGGAGGCGCCTTGCACCACATACGGGATGGATCCTAGCGCCCCAGGCCCACTAAGCCCCCCTCCCGGAGTCGGCAAATTCGTACCAGACTTGTCTGAGAGTCTAGCAGCACTGTCTCGATACAATGGTAAGCCACCGTGACTTTTTGCAAAGGTCAGATATTCATTCAGTCACTTCGAAACGATGCTTAATGAAGTCGAATGCATGGGACATCCCTCAGGGTTTGATCAACGACGAGAGCTTTATCTTTATCTTTATATACTTCTCTCGATGAAGAGAACTCTTCAGCATCTTTTAGCTATTCAGTACTTCCGCCTAGAGATTAGAGGAAAACAGTGAAGAAAATCAACTTTGAACTTAAAAATGCGGGATAATTGGATTAAGCGAATTCGTTGTTCTTCTGTATGTATTGATTGACCCATGAAGTTAAATTGATCGATAATTGAAACATAATCGGATCGGGATCGCCGAGTTGTGGAACTAGTTCGACAAGTTTGTTAATGTGTTTCTTCGATAATAATCACGGCATTTGTTGTAAAACCTGAATTAATCATGTTGAAGTTGCTTGAATCCGTGTCGCTCGTTCGATCCGGGTTGGATGGAAGGAAGAGGAAATCAGGTGGAGAAACATAGAGGAAGTTTTAGTATGACTTACTGGTCTAACTCTTACCCCTCTTATCTCCTCTATATTAAAGAGGGAAGTATTTTTAGAGTGAACAGCTTAGAATACTTTTTTTTGGAAATCACTTTAAGAATACGATGGAGAGATGCTGAAGACATAGCAGAGCAAATGATGAGTGGTCCTGAAGAGGAGAATGCGCTTAAGCCCAAGTGATGCATTCTCATCTCCCATCTCTCAGAGCTTCTCAGATGCTGTGCAGCAACGCGCAACAGTCGAAGTATAGATGAGCGAGGGATGACGACGACGAAGGCCAGTGATCCCACCACTCGCTTCGCTCCCCTAACGCCAGCTGCTCTTCTTGTCGCTACTGGCTCGTTTCTTTAATGGGTGTAAGAAACCTAAGAAGTGCAAAGGCATCAAAGAATAACGGCAAATGGATGTTAAAGAGTCAATTGCTAAGTATTCACGCATCGAATTTCGTATCTACGACAGATGCCCCCGACAATGCCTAAAAATCTGTTTATCATTTTAAAAACATAACGCTCAAGATGCATTGTATACAATTCATGCATAAATGAGATGGACAGAGTGGAGGAAGTGTATTGCAACCGATGCATTTCCTTTGTAGAGGTTGATTTTACAAGGCAGATCATTTTTTACTGGATTTTACAAAATTCAAACAGTAGCTTGTTCAGAACTGTTCAGATCTTGCTAGAGGCGTGGTACATGAAAAGCTGCCTTCTACCTTTATAGTTTACAAAGACCGTTCTCTTCCAGCTGATTTGACGACGGAAGAAGTACTGCTAATGAGGAGGCTGCGTAATAGCACCGAACCCGTTGCCGATGAGGATGGCGTTGAGATGTTTCAGCTCGGACACCGAAGTTCCACAGGAACAGCTTCACCAGTGATCAGATGACGTGCTGTTGAGGAGACTTCTTCAAAGTGGCTTCATTTGCATGGTACAGAGTGCGTTCATCGATGTGATCCAACACATTTTGTTTGTAGAAACAGTAATTCATCCTTATTACCACAACCTTTTACTGGTAATTTGGATGGTCTGCTCAACTGCATTCATTTTGCAATCCACAATTTACGGTTCCTTAATTGCTTTGCATTGTCGGGGAATCAGCTTCGTCTATTATGTAAGGAATATAAAGTTCAGATTTTAGGCAGAACCCACTGTTTCTCCAATCGAAGCTATTATGATGAGACATGGTTATCGTGTGGAATGCGCAGATATTTAAAAAAACGCTGAAGATCACTTCAAACGCCTCCAAATGCTGAAAAGTTTGATAATTAGCCATGGCAACAAATAGCAAACGGTGGAGTCTATTCTGCTAGAGCGATAGAGCAACGTCTCTTCTATAAGATGCCCATGTTCTCAACCCTTCGTTCCCTGTAAAGCTAACAAGCATAGGGCTGTCGGTGTTGATCAATCCCTGAGAGATGCGCCATGCATGCCATGCATTCGACTTCATTAGGCATCGCTGAAGGAGATTGAATGCATATGTGGCCTTTACAATTACTGGCAGTGGCCTATCGATGTATCCAGCCAGTGCTACTATCCTCCTAGACAAATCTGGTGCCAATTTTCCGATTGCGGAGGAATGGAAGGCTTGGTGAGCCATGGGCGCTGGGATGAATCATCCCATGTATATTGCATGCCGCCTCCGACCACTGCGCCACACGCACCCTTCCTCACCTGTAGTTATTGAAAATTGTCGTCTCCTATTGAGGAACTGGCGTAATGTATTATTTGTTGTGTTCGATTGGCCACCATTTTCTCCTATTCTGTAGCCGATATGAAATCAGCCATTGTCCCAAGCCGGCGCTACGCAAAGCTGGGCATCCGGTGTAACGCGTTTTTTAAGAATTCTTTGGGAAATTCGTATTTTCTTCTTACTTGGACGTATGATATGGTTTGTTAAGATGATTCTCATTCAGATTTCATGCAATATGTAAGCAGAGTTTTTCTAACACGAGATTATTACATCTTTATTGTGGCCAACGTTTCGACGTGCTCGCTTGATTCAGAGCCACAATGATTTGAGTCCAGTTTCCATAACACTTATTTCATGCGATGTGAGTTTCGCAGTCCACTCCAATCGAATTGAGTGCTGTAGAACAGGAGTGGTCTGGTGTCACTCATCATTGTGCCTTTATAGAAGACGGTCCTTATCCCTAGTCTTACTTTTGGATGACAGTGACCAAAAACAGCTCTGTATCCTGGGAAACTGTCGAGTACAAACCTCAACGTTTCTTCCATTCGAAGCCTTATTTTAGGACCGTCACCCAAGAAAATGGTGGACTTCGTGCGTGGATGTGACTGTGGATAGAAGATTAGTAGTTTTCACCTAATTGGCATGTTAAATGCTCGCAGAAGCTTCTTCTGGTGCGTGGAGATAGTAGTGCATGAGCAATTCCACATCCACTCAACATGGAATCGCTGGCCGTTGTCGGTCGTGAGGAAACCGCTGTTGATTTCTCAGTATAACTACCTCACTGTTCATTTAAAAAATGCACCCAATTTCTTCTACGTTTTTGCTGATTCTATGCTGTGTGATTAGTCATAACTGAAGAAAGCAGACTTCTGAGGTGTCGCGCAACAGTTGGTTGGCTAACTATTTAGCTTGACAATTACTATATTTCAAAATTTTGTGATTTTATTTATTTCACATTAATTAATTTTTCGGCCGTCTCGCCCTTTTCAGAGCTTGGAGTGATCAAATTGATACGCAATCTAATCAGCCGAATACTTCCGTAAATCCAACATAAAAAGTCAAAATCGGAACATTTATTGCATGGCAACCGTTTACTCTAAAGATCCACCGCTTTCTCTACTATAAGTTCTCCAGTTATTAATTGAGACCAGCCACACAGAATGAGTGCAACTGGAGTTCAGCAGAGGTTTCTGCGGGACTTCTCGGAGTCTGATGAATGGGTAAACCGCAGAAACGTTAGCCGCTGTCGAATGAATATTCCATTAGCAACCTCCTATCTTCTCAAGAAGAAAAGCTTATGTTATTGATCAATGCTAACGTTACAAAAAAAGTCGGTCCTAGGAATTTTCATCTTTATTTAAACCTTTGATTACATTACCGTGATACATTATAGGTGTATCAAAAGGTCTTCAGCTGTCAACTCTATTCAATCCTGCAGACAAAGGCATCTAAGACAACTGCTGTAACTTCATGTATTATATAGATCACGGGGTTTTCACAAGGGATCGGGGAAAGGTCTAGGTATTCTCATCGGACGGCAGCATGTTCGCTTTCTGGAGCAGTTTCAGAATGTCGACGGGCCGATTGTCGGTGAAATGAGTAAGGGAGATTAGTTCGTCGTCGGTTTTGTCAGCTTTCGCTTCTAGGTAGGTCCAAAGCGCCAGCGTCTGTAGGTAATAGGGATGATCAAGACCGAAGCACACCTCGAAGATCTTCATCGCTTCAAAGGCATAGCTCGTCGCCTGTAAGTTTTAAATAGTAGAATAACTGGATGAATCAATGTATCACCGTTGATGAGGAACAGATATGTACATTATTGATTGCTATTTAAATTCATTTTGTTCATAAATATTAATACTACCACCAACATTGACAGCTCTTTACTAGGCTAGTGTGCTGCTACCTACCTCAGATCTTTCACCCTTTACAATGAGATCCTTAACAATGTGAAGAAGTTGGTAACCAACATGGCGATCGGCCTTCGGAAAGCATCTGAAACATTATCCAAGATTAATCTACTTCCTTTAAAAGCATCCAAATAAATCAAGGCGGCGATGATTACAAATGCCTTGTGGAAAATGAGAGTACCAAAAGTTGAGTTTTACGGGAAACCCTAAAACACGGCGAAAGAAACAGAGATAGCCAATGTATTCCAAAACTGTATACGCATATATATTCCTACGAACTGCCCTTTGTTGAGCTGATGCAAGGTTGGTATCAGATGTTGTTGTTGTTGCTGCTCTGGCTCTTCGATGGCTGATGATCCGGCGACCTCGCCTTCTTCGGAGTCGTGTTTTTGCGTGTAGGACCACTTATGTGTTATTCAAACAGGATAACGAGACTCGTTCGAGAGTTGCCGAAACGTTATCCATCGAACCACGGCGACAGTAACAAAAACAGTTGATGCCAACCTCGCGTCGGCTCAAAAAGGGCAGTTGGTAAGAATATGTATAGATATATCGTTTATTTATGCCGAGGCTTATAGGAAATCGGTCCTTTGAGTTATTTCAAGACTTTCAGAGGACTACTAATCACAGTTTGTAGTTCTCATAGATCTGTTTGTGCATGGAGCCCATGTTCGTCTCCAGCGACCCGTTCACATGGAACAGTGCGGTGCGAAGCCGACACACGTAGACGTTGCTCGGATGAAGCAGACCTTCTGCCTTTGCTAGCAGATCACGCAGCTGCAAATGAATAACACATTCAGGTATTTCACAGTGAAGTTTGATAAATGTCAATCCAATACTAGTGGCTGCCCATCACAAACATATTGTAGTAATTCTGCTAAGTATCACGTGTTTGTTCAGTGTTTATCACGCACGCATAGTACTTGAGAGAATCATATTCTACAGAGTTGGCTAGTTTTATCAAGATACTCGCCGTTTTGCCTACAGCGTTCAGAAATGACCAGAAAACAACTAGTTCTAGAATGTTCGCAGACGAAACCGCCAGCAATTAATCGAGTCCAAAATGTTGGGAAAGCTTGGTATAGTGATGAGAATAACACCATCGTCCTTCTCTTCTCAGATTTTTTGCAACGAATGTTTTCTACAACGACAATCCGGAAATACGGCGATCAGGTTTATGATTCTTGGCTGGCCTCGTCAGCCCGCAGACAAGTCGCTCATTTCGTCTGCCTTTGGAATACCAGACATTTGAGCTTAATATGAAGAAGTACGCTACACTTGTTTTTCGAATTCATCTAAGTATCAACGCAGTGCAAGCGATCGGTTTTAAGAAATATAGATATAATGCAGATAGATATTTGACATATGTACTTAATAGTAGCCCCCCAACGGCGTATGCAGCGCATGGTCGGACGAGCCCTGCAGTACACATGGGATCGATCCCTGCGCCCAAGGCTCAGCAAGCCTACCATTTCTCCGGAGTCGGCAAATTCGTACCAAACTTGTTTGAGAGGATAGCAGCACTGGCTCGATACAACGACAGGCCACCGCGAGTAGGCCATATATGCATTCAATCACCTCGAACGATGCTTAATGAAGTCGAATGCATGGTGCATCCCTCAGGGATTGATCAGCGACGAGAGCTTCATTCTTTATCCTTACTTATTTGATAGTAAAAATATAGTCTGAATTTAGTAAAGAAAAAGTATGGATGGTTTGAAAGGCATATGAAAATATTTCACTCTATTGTAACAAAAGCACTATAATGCTGAAAAAGGCATGAATAAACACACAAAAGTGATGATTTATTTTAAAGTTATTAGTCTTCGCGCTAAATATTGGCCTGCTACTTATTCTGCCAACTGGCATTATTATTAACTACAAAGTGTAGAATGCAGATAAAAGCCAGCAGCAGCGCAGTCGCCCGTTTTCTCTTGCTTTTAACATCTCTAGAAGTAATCTTTGAAAAGTCAATGGATACGTGGAACACATGAGCTGAGTGAGTGAGTCAGCTAACCAGCGCTTACCGTCTCGGCTGAGCAGGAGGGATCGAACGAGATCGGGAGGTTCCTCATCAGCTCCTGCGCTTCGCGGACCACGTTTTCATCAGTCACCTGGCCACATCTTGCGCACTTTATGCAACTGGACTCGGCCGTTTCAGTCGTGATCTATAGCATATATTAATTCAGCGGAGTTGATTTCTCTGATGTTATGGTAGAACTAAGCACAAAGTATCATTGCGGTACAAAACAGTAGAACACAAAGGATCGTTGGCAGTCACATTACTTCACAAATGTGATGGTCGTTACCTTTAGAAAGGTACATATATTAATGAGCCAGTTATTAAGAATACTTGACCAATTCATCCTTCAAAAATGGCTAAACTGAAATTAAACCACACTGCTTACGCTGTTCAATCTTCTTATATAAGATGAAATATGAACGATTTGCGGGCGAACGTACCAACGGCTCTTCGCATCCGGCAGTGGAGCATCGGATCGCCGTCAGCGCATCGTCTGCCGGATCTGTGCAGCGGCAGCACTGGCAGTCGAAGTACCACTTCGCCTGAAGCAGAGCCCTGATTTCGACTTCGTACACCCATCGTCAGCATCAGATGGCCAGATGATTGGCAACAACAACGTACATGAATAAGTTTCTTTCGGAGGCAATCTTCAATAACAGTACTAATATGAATGTGTCGTTTTCTTGTTCAGCAATCGCGAGGTTTTTAAACAGCATACATTTACTTCCATAAAAACACAATACAATACAACGCTAGCTGACGTTTCGGCAGTATCGCCTTCTTCAGAGCCGCTTTTTCGTGACTTCCAATGAGGAAGTTTAGAACAGCTGATTATAGTCGCATGTGGTTGACGAGTCGTCAAAAAGCGGCTCTGAAGAAGGCGATACTGCCGAAACGTCAGCTAGCGTTGTATTGTATTGTGTTTTTATGGAAGTAAATGTATGCTGTTTAAAAACCTCGCGATTGCTGAACAAGAAAACGACACATTCATATTCCAATGCCGAGGTTAAGAGAAAGTCGATCTTGNGACTCGTCAACCACATGCGACTATAATCAGCTGTTCTAAACTTCCTCATTGGAAGTCACGAAAAAGCGGCTCTGAAGAAGGCGATACTGCCGAAACGTCAGCTAGCGTTGTATTGTATTGTGTTTTTATGGAAGTAAATGTATGCTGTTTAAAAACCTCGCGATTGCTGAACAAGAAAACGACACATTCATATTCCAATGCCGAGGTTAAGAGAAAGTCGATCTTGGGAACTAGTACTAATATGCTCTTCCTAAAGCTGCTACATCAACAACTACAGAAGTTATTTAGATTTAACTCTGGTCCTAATGGCAAACTAATCAGAATTCATACATGATATATACATATATCAAATTGGGGGAGAAAAGAACAAGACAACTCGCTTTCTTCGCTTTTATTTTAGTCGTTTACATCCTTGTTGTTCTTTTTAGCACATTTTAGGTGCCTGTTGATTTAAATCGTTGTTTAGTTCAAAATGCTTAATATTTTATTATATTCCATTTATTTTGTTTCATAATGTTTTATTTAAGGGCGGAGAACACAGTGGTAGTGATACAGATCATCACGAGTACAGCGCTGGTTCGATCCCTCCCTAGGCTCATCAAGTCTCTCGTAGGTTGGGAAATTGGTGCCGGACTTGTCCGGAATGAAATCATTCTTTGCAATCTAATTGGGAACGCTACAGCTTGGCTATCGCAGGACTCCCATGAGAGTCGACTCGACAGAATTCCACTGTCTTCAAGATGTAATGAAAATCTAGCAGCGGCCGAAGCCGCATGTAAAAGTTGGAAGACCATAGTGGATGATGGATACAAGGAAACGAATGCGAAAAGTGCTGGGATCCGTACATTAGATGAGAGAAACTGATCGTATAAAGTGAAATAACAGTTAAAAATTATTTTATTCACTGCCTGTTATTCTTCCATGTATTATGTGAAATACAACCACAATGATGCTGAGATATTGGCAAGACTCTACTCCCCAGACCACCTTCGAACCCGAGATTACGCTTTTTGCCATGAAAAAAGGTAGCAGTAAATAAAAAGTTAAATTGTGTGATTTCGACTGCAGCCTCAGCTTAACTGGGTTCGATACCGTTTTGTGCTCCCCAAATAATTTCTGTTGATAGTTGATTACTGATAGCACCGTTAGGATAAGAAATTGGCCAGAAGAAAAGCCAGGGCCTCGGTAGTGCGTGCAGTGGGCACTCGATAAAGGTGATCGTGGGTCCGAAGCTCAACTAGAGTTCTAAGCAATTCTTCGCATTCTTTTTGAGCAAATGCGAGGTGATATTTTTATTCTTTGTTCACGAATAAGCTGACGTTTCGGCGGATTTCACCTTCCTCAGAGCCGCTTTCTATGAGGCTTCCACTGAACATGTCGCGTAAAGACCAACCGCAAAGAATTCACATGGAAGCGTAACATTACGGAAGGTGAAATCCGCCAAAACGTCAGCTTATTCGTGAATGAAGGATAAAAATAACACCTCGCGTTTGCTCAACAAGAATACGAAGAATTACTTGATCAATGCCAAGGTTAATAGAAAGTCGGTCGTGAGAGTTCTAAGCTTTGCAAATATCTCACCAACATTGTGGTTGTTGAGTTTAGTTCACAGAATAGCAACGATGTTGAAAACTTGCTCTTTCAGTGGATAAGAAATGCACAAGGAGCTCTTCAAATCGACTGTAAGACTGTCATCTTCATTGATTTTTAGTATGACATGCTGTTGATAATTTGAACGATCTCTTCTGCCTTTAAATAATCAAATGAAATTCTTTTGTAGACGAGCATTTGCGCCTATTTATGATATTCGAAACCCGGTCAGTGGCCATATATGTTTTTATCTCTCTCACTCTTTCTAATTCGTATGTCTTCGTTGAGTGTTGGTGGCTCACCTTCAAGTCCTTTCGTCGAACGTATTTGCTTCGGCCAACATCCACATATGCAATGAAGGCCTTCGTCACATCTGTCGCGTCCACACCAGGCACCAACGGTCGAAGACAAGCCCTAAACGGCTTTCGACTTTTGTAAAAAAAAAAATAATAAAATCGGTCAAAAAACTGTAATAGGCAGCAAATAGAAAAGTTAACTTTGTGATTTCAACTATAGCCTCAACTTAATTCTGTTCAATGCTGATTTGGGCTTCCCAGATCAATCCCGTTCACGGATGATTGTTGATGGCACTGGTAGATAGAAAACTAGTTAAGAGGCGGGCGAAACGAGGGCCCTACATGGTGTTGTGGTGAACGCGTTAGCCCCCAGAAAGAGTAATAGCGCGTTCGTTCCCTACCGCAGACACCTATAGTCCGGAGTTTTTCAAATATCTCAGCATTATTACGGATGTGTTTCACATAATACCCTGCTGTGAAGAATTGTAATAGGCAACAAATGAAAAAGCTAACATTGTGCCTTGTTATAACTATCATGCGTGACCGCTCACCATACGTCAACTCGACTTTTTTAACGGAGCAGTGCACACTGCTCGCCCATGCTAAACTTTGCCTGGTTGGTCTTCATCAAAAATGAGATTAAATGAAAGATTCATGGAAAACAGTCAGTGTCTAAAGAGACCGTTTCCTATACTATTGAAATCCAATTTACTCGTATACTTGGATGGCCGTCTTCGCTGGTTGTATGGGTCCCAGTATGATCTCCATTCTTTATGGAGTTTTGCTAGCTTAGCCACTGTGTTACTCTGGAGTCCTGAGGTTAGCCAGGCCAAAGTCTGCCCCAGGTCGTCACCACCAAAGGGAGTTGCCGCCCTTGTTGACCAGATGGAGATTTGCCACCATGCGACTAGTTTGATACCATGACGGTGACGGATTCTGATATTGGTTTATTCTTAGCTAAACTTCCTGATAGAAACGCTGGACTCCTCAGATTAGGAGACCTTGCCGGGGAGACGAATGACCCGTTGTACATCGCGGCCCGACACCTAAGAACGCCTCGCAACCACGACGAGGCGGTAAACCGTTGGACAGACTTGAAATCTAGGTTTCAGATTTTGCTATCTAGGTATAGAAGTATTTGGATGATTCGATTTCGCAACAATCTGACCATTTCGAGAAGACTAGATCGGCCGGAATGGTATCTACTGTCGAATAAATTTTGTTATTAACGATCCCGCTTCTGCTCAAGAAGAAAACACTAGCTTATTTATCAACGCCGGGGTTATCAGAAAGTTTATCTTGAAAGCCAAGTAAGGACTTTTCTCATCCCAGCATGTTGCGAAAATTTTGTTCAAACCGTTTAGAAAATGTGATGAGGAATTGGGACGGAAATAACATGGGTGTTAAAATCGTTATAAACTAAATTATTCCTAATTTTCTACTGAGACTGTTCTTGCAACACCAAATACTGGTGAAAGCGAGCGTTGGTCGATTACGACTGCGCTTGTGAAGAGATTGGTTTATGGTAGGATTTCCAGAAAAGGATGTTTATAGGTAGTGGAATGGTTACATATGCTTAGCACACACCAAAAGGAATTAAAATCTCCGCAACTACGCATACTGCAGCTGCTTGAGTTGGAAGTTAACATAAGTTAGCACCAACTTTGAAAAGGGAATCGGAGCTTACAGAAGTATCCGGTGAAAGAGACAAACAATACCTTGCTTACCGTGCGCTTCAACGACACGATTGCTATTCGTAACTTAACCGCAGGAAGTCTTAGTGTTATGTGAACAGGATGAAGGTACTGTCAGCGTCAATGGAAGCGATATCGACAAACAAGTGCTTCTAGTACCCTATATGAGGCAAGTGGAAAGCAATTCACATTCGCACTTTTGTTGAGCAAACGCGAGGTGTTACTATTCTTTGTTCACGATTAAGCTGACGTTTCGGCGAATTTCGCCTTCTTCAGAGCCGCTTTCTATGAGGTTTCCACTAAGTATGTCACGTAGAGACCAACCGCACAGAAATCACGTGGAAGTATAATACTATAATACTATTACTATACTATAATGCTATTATACTTCCACGTGATTTCTGTGCGGTTGGTCTCTACGTGACATACTTAGTGGAAACCTCATAGAAAGCGGCTCTGAAGAAGGCGAAATTCGCCGAAACGTCAGCTTAATCGTGAACAAAGAATAGTAACACCTCGCGTTTGCTCAACAAAAGTGCGANATCACGTGGAAGTATAATACTATAATACTATTACTATACTATAATGCTATTATACTTCCACGTGATTTCTGTGCGGTTGGTCTCTACGTGACATAGTGGAAACCTCATAGAAAGCGGCTCTGAAGAAGGCGAAATTCGCCGAAACGTCAGCTTAATCGTGAACAAAGAATAGTAACACCTCGCGTTTGCTCAACAAAAGTGCGAAGGAGGTCACTTGATCAATGCCGAGGTTAATGGAAAGTCGGTCGTGGCAGTTACTGCAATTCACATTTCCGAGCGAGGTTCATTATGTCCTTCATGTACTTTAAACGAGGAAAGTTCGATGGGCAACTCTGGCATTTCACAGAGTAAAATGGCGTCACGTCTTGCTGGCGACAATTGTGTCAGTCGATCGTCAGCCAAAGGACGAGAACGTAGTGGGAAAAGCACAAAAGATAAAGCTTTCGACGTTGATCAGCATGAATAACACAATGGTAGTGATGCCGGCCGTCACAAGCATGGTGCTGGCTCGATCCCCTTCCAGGCCCGCCAAGCCTCTCATCCCCTGGGACCCAGAAATTGGTACCTGGAAAAAAATCACTCTCTGAAATCCATTTAAGAACGCTCTATCCCCGGGTATCTCAGGACTGCAGTGAGAATAGACTCGATCAACACTCTACGACATTCAAGATGAAACGTAAATCCTCAAGCAGCAACCGAAGCCACACGTAAAAGTAGGAGAAACTTAGTGGATGATGAATGCGAGAAAAGGAATCGAATGTAAGAAGTGCTGGGATCCGCTCAGTATATGTGAAAACGGTTCTTATGAAATGAAATAAAAAATGCTAAAAATGAGTTGAAAACCTGAAGCCATCAAACACCATTGTACACGTCGGTCGACACGAATGGTTATATTTGGAGATGCCTGAAGTTCACAGTATTTCACAGCACCATGCAATGCTGGTAACGTTACCCACAATTTTCTTCTTAAAAATAACGGAGAAATATGAGAAACTATTTATGGGAAGGAAGATCTTCAAACCGAGGTCAAGAGCCATGCCGATCTCTGTCCCGGCGTTCGTGTGAATGCTATGCGAATTGATTGACGCCTTGCAAAATATGTCGAAGAACTCCTCCTAAAGTGAAAATTACATCTATATTTTTTCAACTACCTTTTCTAATGGAATATTCATCACCGATATGCTCCTTACTTTTTCGATCATTTCTTCTTTCCGGAAAATTTCCATTTTCTTGTGGATTTTTTTAAAATGCTCCATCTTAGCGCTGTCAGCCCTGAAATGTGGCAAAGTGACAATTGGGGTCAATGAGTACGTTGTTGTCCCCTTTCAATTTTCATTGACTCATAGCTTTCTTCTTTCCTCTTATTCACTGTAAACTGCGAAACTGACTCGTGGACACCAAAGCATGAAAGATATCCATCTTCAAACACTTTCAATGATAACGGCTTAAGCCAAATTCTAGTTCAAAGTAGCTACCGCAGGAGGAATTTAATACTGAAATGCTCATCGCTAAACGTTCTTTACACCATGCCACAACCTAGTAAAGCGCTGGTTCGACCCGCTCCGGCCTCACTAAGCCTCTCATCTCTTTAGGGTCGGGAAAGATTCTTTGGTTCCAGACTTGTCCTGGGCACGCTAATTCCCTCTCCTCTCGTCTATGTCGAGACGCTCTCACACGGCTATCACAGAATTTCAAGAAGAATCCATCCGATAAGCATCCAATGATATTTGTGACGAATACGAAAAATTCTTAGTCAGCACCTGAAACCGCACGCGAAAACGTTCCATGAAGCTCTTGGAAGACGGATGCGAGGAAACAGAGAACAACACGCAAGTAAATATACTTGCGTTATGAGTAGACTGTGCACCAGGAACGTGCCAGTCTTTCGTCTCATTCACGCGTCGTACTTCGCGTGAGCAATGTCAGCTCAAAGAAAGAGAAGAACATTTTTTCCTTCATTTTTTCTTCTAATATCTTCTTGATGGGGTGGACTCTGGCCAGGCTGTCCTCGGGCTTCCAGGGAACCACAATAGCTTAACCAGCAAAGCTCCGAAAAATGGTGATTATGCTGGGGCCTGCACACCTAGTGATGACGGGCCGTGCAAGTAAGTAAGTAAGTAAGTAAGGTCTTCTTGAAGAAGTGTGGTCACAGATCCAGTGATTTTTCCGTTCTGATCATGATCATGACATTTTAGGTCGACACGGTCACTAACGCTCCGTGTCCCTCGGCTACCGTTTAGACACACCAGATGAACCTGGCTTTCGACATATTGCCGTAATCAGTAGTAATCCTGCTCGTTGATTGTTGATGTGGATCAAGGATCGCTGTAGTTCTTAAAAAAGACAAGGTTGCGAGTTCCGATTGACAATGAATGGTTCGTCGTGAAAACCAATGAATCACCCAGAACGGTAATCTATTGATACTGCTGAGGGCCATTCTTGAGCAATATGCGTGTTAGTGAAGAAATAATACGATAGATCCTAAGACTAGATATGACAGCTGTAGGTGAACGAAAGAACAGAAGAAATGCTGAAACTCACACTTCATTAGAGGTGAGTGATCCCAGTAGACAAGAACGGTATGTAACGTTCTAAGGTGTAGGTTTGAGGAACGATGTATGACGGAACCCTCGGCGTTTGGAGAAGTATTAAGTTCGGTTTGTTTTCTACCCTTAGCACGCGTTTCCTTTCCTTCTGCTCACTTTTAAGTTCTGCATTGTGTTGAATATATGACAAGAAGTGCGGACAGAGCCTTAAGAGATATTCGTCCTGTTAATCGTGAATGGAATATCAGGAATAAATGTGTTTTTCGCAAACATCTTTTTCTTTAAGTGGAACTGAACACTGTCGTTTTTGCAGACAATGGCAGGGTCGGCCAGTATTTGTTTGATTTTGATATTATTTAATCTTAGAGAAGCGATTTTATCAGCAGAGCAAAGGTGGTACGATTCGCCGTCTATTCACTTTCATTCAACTTTTTCTAGCGAAAGTGTCAATGAGTACTTTGAGAAAAATAGTATATCTTTCGAAATCCTGACACTGAAAATGTTGTACAATGCGAAAGAAATCATTCTGAGTAGGGACGCACAGGTTGTCAAGCCTTCGCTGATCTCGTCTGTCTAAGCAGAAACGAAGGATCTCTCCTAATCAATGAAAGTAGGTTATGGAAGGACTTTGTATTTTCGTGACACTTCAGTGAGTTTCGTTGTCTCGTGAGTTCAATCCACCATAGTGGGCCATTTCCGAAATCCAGTTTGCTTACATGGCCGCCTTTTGTCTAACGTCCCGTTAACCCTAGAAAGTAAAATCCCGATGCTCTGGAGGTCTCCTTGTTCACCAACACGTTCGTTCAACTTTTCGGAAGTCTAGGGACCTTCCCTTCTGATAAACGTGAAAAGTCGGGCAAATGAGTTGATTAGAACATATTGTATGTTCTTTAGACACTGAACTTTGGTCGTTGCGTCACGAAGAGCTCTGATAGTTTTCACTAACAATATAAATAGCATACTTCACTTTAGAAGAAACAACTGGCTGGAACGGTACATCCATTTTTCCGAAATCATTTTGATGCAAAGTGACGTGCGTAGCCGGTCGGAGTCGTTGTGCCAAATTGTATTATATTTGTATTATAGACTTTGCCAAATCTCTACAGTTTTGGTATCTTCTTCCCACCTTCGCCTTGAGATCTTGTTTAATCATTTCTAGGCTACTTGGACGCAAGCTGGCAATTTCTTGCCACTCATCCGGCTACGCTGGCACATCATCTTCAGTTTCAAGAATACGCTTCTCTTTGTATCTTTAAAACTCAAAGCATCTCTAGCGCAATAATGAAGATGTGAATCAGCGGTATTGTACACCATTTGTCGACTACGGTGTTTTCACAAGGATAAATCAAAGAAGTAAGGAATTCTTACGTACTTTTTCCGTTTCTCGTTTCCTGAAACTTGCCTTCTTCATCTTCCTGTGATAAAATGGATGTCGCTAGATGAAGGAGATTTTTGGATTATTGTCTGCAGTGGACCATGAATAACCTCGATAATAATGCTAAACTCAGGCAGCTTTTCACTGTTTGCGCACTTCCAATTCACAGATCCTGATATGAAATTCCTTTCGTCGCGCCAAACATCGCGTTGAAGCATGATGACCCTGTAGAAGTTAAGGTTGCGATCCAGGTACGTACCTGCTCAAAGGAATCGACATTCGTAGTCGTTGCTTTTCCTGCTGAGAAGGAAATATCGATGAGTATTTTGCATGAAACTGCTGTGAGTGATGGGTATATATTCACGGGTAGCTTAGCGGGTTTTGGGATTAATTCACTAGGTAGGTTAAATCATCGCTGTGGAACTATGGATACCATTTGACGAAGTTCAAAAACTTTAAATGTGAAAATTTCAAAGCTAGAGTTTGTGAAAGAAAATTTCATCACGAGCGCATCTAGTGCAGTGTTTAGAGGCGCCCTGAAAAGAGGACGCACTGGGTGGGCCGGGTCAGACTCAGAGCACGCCAAGCGAAGTCCTCCATCCCTTCGGGGTCAGCAGTGTGGCACCAGACTCGTCTGAGAGCAAAGCACTGCTGACATGGTATATCGGTACGCCTACGCGAGTACTTAATAAGCTAAATATGCATTCAGTAATCTCTGTAATACTACCCTGCGAGTGGAGAATGCGTGGCGCGTCCCTCCATGGTTAATCAACGCCGAACACCTTGTCCTTCATTAATTATCGAGGGATTTCAACATGCTGAGGAAGAAAGAACAAACCGTATATCATCTTTATGATCCATCAGTGATGAGAACTTCCGGTCTCGTTCCCAGCCATATTGATCACCGTTCAACGTCAGATACACAATCCGATCGATAATTTTCGACAAGAACAGCACTTCGGTAAGTGGTAGGTTGGGAAACACCTGTAAAAGTCAAAGCGTTTTCCCATGAATAGTGCAGAATAGGAATTATACGGAAAAAAACTTGTCAGCATTTCATCACCTTTTCTTTCCTTCTTTTTTTAAATTCATTCTTCCCCTCTCCTCTCATTCTATCCTATCACCAATTTTCAGTGGATTATGGGCATCTAACCACCCTCTAACACTCGATTTCAATAATTCACTGTTTCCTGATGTCTATAGGTTTGTCTCCAGTTGAATTGGTGTAAGTCGCAATCGTCATAAATGGTAATAGACTTCTTTCTTCAGGCTTTAAAACGTTTTAATATTCAGCCATCTCTCACTAAGTATTTATTTCATCCAATTTTTTATGGGCGAACCAAGCTCTTGGTGAGGGGATTTGGCCACCGGACTTGTCGAAGAAGGGTTCCCTCCGATCCAAAAAGGCTGTAACAATGACATAGGAAGACTGTAATCAAATTATCTTGCGATTTTGGAAAGAATCGACTCGATTAGGATCCAGCGACATTTAGAAGACCGAAAATACTCACGAAGTAGCCGAGACCACACGAAAATCCGAAGGGCATTGTGGACGACGAGTGCAAGGTACGGAATTGAATAAAAGAGTTCTCAGGATTCGCACAATATTTGGGATCAAGCCGTGTGAAGAAAAAATGGAATTAAAGTGATCGATCTTGCCAATTTGGTTTCTTCAGGAAAACGTCGCTTTTCAAGCGCTTCCACCCCGCCAATGTCCATATCTCGGTTCTTAGCGGACGTTGTTGACCGTCGTTACCATCGAACTTTACTTTACCGACGTCATACAGTTCTTTTCTTCGACAAGACGAAGATTCTGGAGTCCCTCTGAGCATAGCGGTCCTTTGAAGGTCCCCGTTAAGTCCGTTGAGAGCTCAGATCACTGCGGATAGATTACTTCATTTATTTTCCAGGTACGATGTAGAGAGTAGTAAATCAATGCTTTTCTAACCACTAAAGTCAATTAGCTAAGGATCATACTAATTTAAGAATTCTTCTGCTTTTCAGCGCTCTCTAGTTCTCCTTCAAAGTGGTCATCAAAAAAGAAATTACTCGTTTTAACAAACGATATAGGATAAAGGTTTCGGCGCTTATTAATCCCTAAGGGATATGCCATGCATTCGACTTCATCGAGCATTGTTAGAGGTGATTGAATGCATATCTGACCTTTACAATGGCCTACCTATGTATCGAGCCGCGAGCTGCTATCCTCCCAGACAATAGCAATTCACTTACGCCGAAGCAATGGTAGGTTCAGTTGACCGACGTGTGGTCGTACCAACGACTTGCATGTGTATATTGAATTACTTCTCTGTCACTGCGCTACTTGCGTGCCCGGTGGTCTCTTACGTGATTAGAATTTATTTCTATGAAATTTACCCTGTTGAGGTTATATTTTGTTGAATAGAATTCATGGCCAAATGATACCTTCTGAAGAGAGGGAAACCTGCCGATCCGCTAACTTTCACGGCATGAACTTTGTGCTGAAAATGCTGTATCGGCTCATCAAAAGCACAGTAATCCAATGATAATTCGGAAGACTGATGGGAAGTTTACCTTAGAAACTTTAAAACGTCTTTTTCCTCTTAATAAGGATAAAGGATAAAGCTCTCAGTGTTGATCAACGCTTTAGGGATGCGCCATGCGTTCGACTTCATTAACCATCGTTTCGAGGTGATTGAATGCATATCTGGCCTTTACAATAGTGGCCTACCGATGTATCGAGGCCTCCCAGACAAGTCTGGTGCCAATTTGCAGACTCCGGAGGGATGGAGGGCTTGGTGGGTCTGGGGCTCGGGAGTCGACCCCAAGTGTATTGCTGGGCGCATCCGACCACTGCGCCACACGTGCCCATTTCTTCTTCACATACGATATAATTTTTCATTGTTCTCCTAATAATAGATCATTCTTGGTTATATAATTGTCTATAGCGATATGCAAATGAAAATAATATGACTTAGAAATGAGTTCTAGGTAGAAATAGCGGAAATGGCGTACCGCCTTCAGACGTCGACACTCTGGTCGATGTGTCTTCCATGCCAGACGCTGGCAGTCCTTGCTGCAGTAGCGCACGAAGTCGCACCTGTACTGTCAATATGATGTCTCTAGAGCTTTCTAGCACTAAACTGACATCAAAAAGAAGAAAAGTAGGAACAAGGTCATAAATAAGCATTCATAACTATAGAAAAATAGAGTTTAAAGCCAGTCTTTGCCGGAAGACTTTTCGCTGTTCTATCGGATTTTCGACGAGGTCGTGGGTGATTTATTATTTGTTGTCATTATCAGAACGCTTCAAAAAGGCAATTAAAATGTATTGTAAGTGTTAAGTCTACATTGATTAGTTGTGGACGTGTTCGATTGGCGTGTTGCACTCACGCAGCGCACTTGCCGAGTGGCTCTTGCTTAACTGCCGAACGCAAGCAGTGCGAGCAAAAGCTCTCCGTCTGTGGATTCAACAGCTGATAAGCGAACGGATGCTCGAACACCTGAAACAGCGAATCATCCGCTCCCAAACGTCTACATCAATCGCCACTATTTTTGAATGGTGAGAAGCAATTCCGACCAAGAAACCGCTGGGGAAACAGCGTCTGAAAACCCAATAACAGAAAAAAACGGTGGAATAGGCTAAAAGGTCTCACGGTCAGTCGCACAGCGTAACATACCGTGCTCTTCGTAAAAATCAAAGACACTTGCGAGGTCATGCCCGTCGTGCATTTAAATCCCCATTCTTGTCGATAATAAGAACAATGTAGTTGCTGTTTTTGTTAACGTATTTACTTTGATGTGGCACATGTGGTGCAGTGGTTCCCTGCAATGGACTAGTGGTCAATGGTCCGATCAGGCGCCCAGGTCTCAACAAGCTTCTCATTCCTCCGGGGACAGCAAATTGTTTCTAAACTTATCTGGGAGGATGACTGACTTAATGGGTCGGCACTCGCATGCAAGGTATTGCATAAGTCAAATATGCATGCAGTTACGTTTGCGGTGCTACGAATGGAATCGAATGCATAGTGCGACAATAAAGGATCGATCAATACAGAAAGCTTTGTCGTTTTTACCTAGTTTGGTGACTTAAACTGAAAAGCTTTAGCAAAACTTGTAGGTCTAGGAAACCAGAACCAAATTCGTTACGGCTAATTTCATGACAACCGACCGAAGGAAACAAGCAGTGCATCTTAAATTTTTTTTTCCTCACCAATTCGCTCTCGCTAGCGATGCAATCTGAGTGGAAGTCACAAGTTCCAAAACACTTTATTAAACAAGCTTTTCATCCTACTTTGTGCTTGCCTTTTTTCTTCAGCTTGTTTCGCTACATTTGTAATCTGATAGAGTACGCATAACGTACTTACCAAAGTTCTGCCGTAGATTGATGGAATCTTATCGTCCTCCGGCTCATTGGAACCAACAGATAGAGGCATCTAAAACCGTTCTAAAGAAAGAAATGAGCCCACTAGTATATTCATTTGTACGATCTTATAAACCGTTCTTGTTGAGCCGATGCGCGGTTGGTAGAAGTCTTCGTATTCGCAATAAATATATCAACTGTTTAGGCCGACGTTTCTGGAAAGTCGGTCTTTAGAGCTATTAAGAGATGAACCCACTAGTAGTAAATGAAATAAATAATAATGCAATCAAAGAAATTCATAGCACTGGTAAGTTAATGATCAAAATCCGTTGCTCATGTGGAAAATCCATCACGATGACGAACACCACGGCTTACATGTACAAGCTCACCACCACTCTGTCAGCCAGGAGAAAGAAATGCAGTTCAAAATCTCCACTAAACAATCAATTGATTACCCATGCTTGCTGAATAGATTCCTTTATCTATTCATTAGATATCCTTGGTGTATTGATTAGTTCCAGGGCAAATAAACGATAACACTTGGAAAAATTCGTTTTGAGAAAAAGACTGCGCTGTTCAAACACAAATTCTGAAGTTCTTCGTTATAAATAAATTTTCCCAAAAATCACTGAAAAACTTGTCAATAATTCTGGAATTGTTGATTGGTGTTCAGCTAGAAAGCTGCAGAAGGAGATCTGGGCGATATAAGGGATCTTAGATGGGGAACATGTGGGAAGAACAATTGGGAAAACGCGTCTGGAGGACGTCTGTGTGAACAGATCCGGCTTTAAACAAATATTACACTCTGTCCAGACATCACAAAGGACCAGTCACTGCAGATGCCAATACTCTGATTGAACTCAGTTCCTGTAAGCGTCTCGTTCCCATTACTGCGTCAATTTACCCTATATTTAAAATCTACTTAGTACTTTACTTCAAATAAAGATAAAAACGCCAAACTTCATACCCTCGCCTTGTGCTTTTCACCCTAACCCGTGACGTTCTTTAGTGAAGTTCTTCCGAAGTCACGAAGCTCGATTGCATCCTGTAAAGGTCAGATTTATCAGAGAAATTTTTTCCATTTATTGAGGAAGGTTTGGAAAGAAAAACTGAGAAACCAAAATGGCACTATAAGCTGATCTCAATTGCTCCATATCGATGAGCATTCGTCTTCTATTTCTATTTCCCATCTTCTCCTCTCCACTTTTTTTAAACTTCTATAAAACGTAAAAGTTGCTAGTCATCATTAGGCGAATTCATCTATATAGTACCTCCCTGGGATTTTCAATCGCTCATTAGTCGAGTTTGTCGGTATTCCAAGTTCTTTCATTTCGCACTGATTCAGAAAAAGTACAGAAAAATCCAGCATTATTAGCCGACTAGAGAGAGCCTGGCTCAATATTCATTCGAGTTACGCAAATAGACTGTTCTTAAGAAGCTTTGTTTTATTAGTCCTACTAAATTAACCACTTTTCCAAACAAATTCGTTGTTTTGACCGAACATCACTTTTATGTGTAGTAAACACGCACGACCAGCAATGACTTTAGGTGGACTTGTTTCCGGTAGGGACCGTAGGTAAGTGTTCAGTACAACTTCGTCCTGACCGCACAACTTTCAACAGCTGAAGGTGACCGTCGGTGCACTATACTGCCTTGATTGACGTTTACCCTTGTATAGATGAGTGAATCAAGACCTACATTTTTTCAGTTTTCATCTCTGTGAGGTGGTCGCGTAAGTGGAAACTTAACCATTCGCTCGTTGTAATGTTACTCAACTTCCTTTACAACTATAGCGAGCCACTAAGAGTGCTTAATGCATCCGTATTCTATCGTAACAAATGCCACAATCATTTCAGTTTTCCACTGAGTTTAATTTTGTCAAATCGTGCAGCTCAGGACTTCAGATACCACAGAAAACATCTAAGAACCACATGTTATTTTGGTAGATAGGACAGGTAGTCATCATACTTTTACTGTTGTGATTAGTCACAACTTAAACGAAAACAATTATCCAGCACATACTATGCGTATTTCCGCTAGGTAATCGTTTTTGTGCGCCAAAAGACTCATCCAAGCCAATATTCAACTGAAATTTCTCTCACAAAACACTTTGATGATGGTCGCCGGACACCGATTATTAAACAGTCAGTCACGCAAAGTGTCGATGAGTTCGTGTCGGGACCTAACACGGCACAGATGATCATTCTGACGATTATGTTTTTCAAGAATCGGAACCGTTGACGCCGTAAGCCTCAATTACACCGCAGTGGTTGCCATTATACTTGATGCCGACCGCACGCCATCTGCCGAACATAAACTAATTCCATGCTTCCTAAAATATTGTTAACGACTTGTTAAACGAACTTCCGTTTGAGTGGCTTTTATAAGTTTTACGCATAGCTTACAACTAGGATATGTTCTTTTTTCAGAAGTGTTATTATTATGTCGAGAATGCTGAGAGAAAGGAGAAACGAAGGACCCGCACGATGAGATAGTGAACGCGTTAACCACCGGAAAGGGTGATAGCTAGGCACCACCGGTCCGGAGTTTTGCAAATAACTCAGCATTATTATGATTATATTTCACATAATACTTCGCCATTAAAAAAGAGTATGCAGTAAACAAAAAGTGACGGCATCATGATTTATACCACAGTTTCAAATTAACTGGGTTTAATGCCTATTTGTGCCCTCCAGATCAATCCCGTTGGCGGATCATTGCTGTTACAACCTATAGCTCGATAACACTGCCAAGAGAAAGGCGAAACGAAGGGTTCGCACGGTGTCGTGGTTAACGCGTTAGCCCTAGAAAGGGTGATAACGTATTCGGTCCCCACCGCAGACAGCAGCGGTCCGGAGTTTTGCAAATATTTCAGTGCCATTATGGTTGTATTATTATTATATTGGATTTTTCAATGTCTCTTTTTATAATCTTAACTCTTTTATTTACTGCCTTTTTCTTCTTAATGGCAGGGTATGTTGTGAAATATAACTCGTATGAAGTGCTGCCTTACCGGTAAGGACAACAGCGCGTGTTCGTTCCCTACTGCATACACCTGTGGTCCGAAGGTATCTCTTTTTATATTTAGGAAGAACTACAACAACAATTCTACACAGCAAGACACAAATAATGTTACTTTAGAAAGCTAGTAATCCTTCATGATAAATTCAGCAAGCTGCGTTAAGACAAAACTGAACCCTTAAACTCGTTTAATCCCTTGAGTTATTAATGTGCGCCAAAATTGCTTCAATGCTTCATCCCTCTGTAACTTTTATTGTTCTCACCACATTAATAATTCAGGAACGTCAGATGATTTTGACTTCGGTTAGGCGTCCAATGTAAATATCCTGTTCCTTATTGAAAATAAATCACACGCGAACAGTGGCATTTCTATCAGAAGTGCTTAGGGTATCAGATCACCGACTTTTTTCTGAGAGCTAGAGCTTATGTCGGTTCACAGTATTCACTTGCCTGTGACTCCTGTACAGGTAACGTGATCACGAAAGTTTTAAGAGGCAAACCGTTGACATTTGGACGCTTATAGGAAAAAAACGTCTAAACCTTTGGATATGGGAGGATATCAAGACGCTCAATGATTCTGATGACGGAAATGATTGCAATAGTGGCGGCGATCCGAGATCGGCAACGGCGTGAGTCCGGTGCATCATCAGCACATGATGAGGTCACACCTGTAGGGTGTCGATGCAGTACCTAATCTTACAGAAAGCAGCAACACTAATGTCATCAAGATGTGTCAAGTGCATATTGGTGTCATGCGAAGTCAGGTCTGTCAAACAAAATGCATATTGTCGAAGATTTAAGGAAGGAAAGGAGTGAGAGAAAAGGAGAGAGAGGGAGCAAGAGAAGGGGTACGAGGTGAATGAATGAATGAACGATGTTGTATGAATAGGCATGTCTGGACCAATGGATGGATCGTAGAACAAGCGACGGAATGTGCGGATGATTAGATAAGATTGACCAAATGGATGTGCGAACAATTTGGTCATAAATGAACCAGTAAGCCCTTAAGGAGGCTCCAGGCAACTTAAGTAGAAGAGCTTGTAATTACCAACAATGCGATCCACACCTTATTTCAACGTCAAGTAGAACCTTGAAGCAATAGATAGTATGCCGTCAGTCCATCTCCGTCTAGGAACTCGAATCCTTCTTCTTTTCGTATCTTGAAATTTTGATTTTCTGGCCGTCAAAAGAATCGTATACACGATGCGCTCGATCCTTTCTTGGCATTTCTTTCTTGAACAGAAAATCCACGTAATGATTAGAAAGTTTCTCTGACATTTAAGAAGGAGTTCATCTTTAAAAAAAACTTCCAGCCAGGTTGACTGTGCCTCCACGCTTTTTCTTTTTCTGGTTTTCTCCATAAGTCAGTGACTTCGAAGCCTTCCTAATTGAACGGAAACCTACTTTGTTTTTCCTCAACTCCTCAGATTGCCCTCAAGCACTTGGAAATCGCAATTCCAGAGAACACTGTTATATGGAGAACAAGTTTAACAGGGTCACTCATGAGCGTCTCAAATCTTTCCTTATAATTTTCAGTTATTTTTGCTGTCCTATAGGGTTTTCTAACTCTTGCAGAGTCTTTAGGTGTACATGCATACAAGAAAAAGTAAAATAAAAAAATTAGCGAGATTCGTTGTTTCGATGAAGAAGCAAGTTTAATTTCCCACGGCAAAAAGAACCCGGCTAATTTTATATTTTGCAGGATATCAACATGCTTTCTACCTATGTAGTAGACGATGACTTCCTCTACACTAGGCTTTGATTTCTCGTATTCTTTACTTTCTTTCTTCCTTTGTCTTTAATCTCTATTCATTCTGTTTACGTCGTTCTTCATTTCTCTTTCACTCACTACGTCAGCATCTGTGAAACCTAACCCTTACAGCAAAATGCTTCTTAATTCATCGTTGTTGATGGCATTCGCCACCAACGGGGTAGAGAAGTAATTACTGAAAACACTTCTCTCGTTATCTAGTGCCTCTTCTGCTCTGAGTTCCCACATTGTCCACTCCCATACTGATTCCGTTTCTCCTTCACATACAACTCCACGACAAC